ATACTGTACAGAGGGGTTACAATTGCATGGGCAGGATAATGCGTACATTTCTTACCAAGCATTGCAGCCTCCTCCTTTGTTTACCCTTCACATCCTTTCCCAGCCTCCCCCTCATGTTTCTTTTTGTGTTAGTGCTGGAGCTTGAACTCAGGGCCTGATGCCTGAGCTTTTTTGCTCAAGGCTAGCACTTTATAACTTGAGCTTTTATGGCAGTTAATTAAAAATGAGAGTCTCAGTGTTTCCTCCCTGGGCTGGCTTTGAACTATGACTCTCAGGTCTCAGCTCCTGAGTAACTTGGATTATAGGCATGAGCCACTGGTGTGCACAACTGAGAAATCTTTTTTTTTAATTAATCAATCAATTATTTTTTATATCTTTCTTTTGGATAGGTAATAGGGGTTGAACTCTGGGCTGTCCCTGAGCTCTTCAGCTCAAGGCAAGAGCTCTACCACTTGGCCACAGGACCATTTCCAGTTTTCTGGTGGTTAATTAGAGATAAGAGTTTTATGGACTTTCCAGCCTGGGCTGGCTTTAAACTGTGATCCTCCTCAGATCTCAGCCTCCTGAATAGCTAGGATTATAGGCATGAGTCACTGGCTCCCAGCTGTTTTTTATATCTTTATTGTAAAGGTGATAAACAGGGGAGTTACAGTTATATAAGTAAGATGAGTATATTTCTTTTCAAACACTGTTACCCCCTCCCTCTTTTTCTCTTGATTACCTCTCCCTACTCTCCCTTCCCCCCAGAAATATCATTTTTAGAGGAAAATTATTATAAATCTTGACAAACAAAAGTAACACTGGAACAAACACAAAAAAAAAGAAAAAGAAACAACACAGGATTGCTTATTTTTATCTTTTTCTAGATACTCTACAAGTCAATTAAAAAGATCTAAGTATATTATTCAATGACATAAAGAAAATGACTAGAAAAACTAAAATGAAACTACTAACAAAAATCCCGAAGTATGGGGCTGGGAAGGTGGCTCAGTGGTAGAGCACTTGCCTTGCATGCATGAGGTCCTGGGTTCGATTCCCCAGCATCACATAAGCAAAGAGAAAAAAAAGCCAGAAGTGGCACTGTGGCTCAAGTGGTAGAGTGCTAGCCTTGAGCTGAAGAGCTAAGGGACAGAACCCAGGCCCAGAGTTCAGGCCCCACGACCGGACCCCCCCAAAAAAAATAAAAATCCAGAAGTAAGAGAAATCATATAGTACTAATTTTCCCATCTTTCATAGCAGGAAATTCATAAATATTGAGTAAATTCCTAATTCATGAAAGAAGGCTGTGACATAAGCATATAAATAAAAACAATTTCTGGGTGCCAGTGGCTCACACCTTTAATACTAGCTACTCAGGAGGCAAAGATCTAAGGATCATGTTTCTAAGCCAGCTTGGGTAGGAAAGTCCATGATTCGTAACTCTAGCCACCAAACAAGCCAGATGTGGAGCTGTGGCTCAACTAGTAGAGTGCTAGCTTTGAGGGGGAAAAAAAAAGCTCAGGGATAGTGACCAGACTGAATTCAAGCCCTACGATCAACAAATGCACACACAAAAAATCACTACTAAAGTAACTCAGAATAAACAAAAGCATTTTCAAAATACTAAAAAGAAAATATTATTGTGTGGGCACTAAGAAAGGTAAGCCTATAAAGCAAAACATGAGTAGAAAATACTTAAAAAAAAAAAAGCATAACTACGGTCACAACAGCTTACCTGTTACAAGAATAAGGACTCATAGTTTGGAACAAGTTAAGTGACCGTTCTTCCAAAGATGACAGCAGCAAATATGTTCTGTTTCACACTCTTTTCTAGGTCTTTCTAATCCTCCCCTGACCTCCTAATAGGTAGAGTCTAATTTACATTTCCTTGAATGTGAGTGGGTATCATTCATAATGCAGTACGGTTTTAGGCTAGGTGGTATAAAGTGATTTAGCTTGCAAGCTAGACCACTCCAAATAGGCTGCTGACCCTCCATGTAAGCAACCCAATTGGCAAGAGGCCACCTACTGTGAGGAAGCCCAGACTAAGCCACATGGAGAGGACATCAGATAGCTTGTACCCCGCCAGTCAGTCCTACCACTGTCGGACTGAAATTACTCAAGATCCTAAACCAGAAACTCCAACAGAGGCCTACCCAAGCTCACTACCATAGAAACTGTGCCATTATGCTTTTGGCTCTTCTATTTTTATTTGGCTAAATTAGTCATATAGATGATGTCATTGTTATACTTCTACATGTTTACAATATGGTCCAATCAACCTTACCCCTCCCCCCTTTATCACTCTCCTTTTATTCCCTCCCTAAAACAATTAGAGGTGATCCATTATGCTGCACTAAATAACAAGTCATCAACCAATGTTTTTAGAAAATATCACTCCATAATAGGCACTAATAGCATTAATACTAGTGAAATGGCATCTTTCATAAGATCTTCTCTCTAGTAACTACAAAAAAGGAAAGGTGAGAAACACAACTTGGGAAACCTAAGATGAAGCTGCCAGTTCAAAACAGGTCCCTAATCATAAGGACACAAATGACTACTAATTGTGATTACCCAGCAGACTTCCAATAGGTTCTAAAGTTCAACATGGTTACTCACCAACCACTTGACTCTGAAGGAGAAAAGAGCACTAAAGGCAAATATCACCCACAGCACTGGACAGGCAATAAGTCCTAACCAAAAGATTCTTGATTCAGCTTCTGAAACAGTTTTATTATCTTGAGGAGTTGCCTACAGAAAGAAATTAATTCAATCATGACTGTTGGGAAACTTATTAGTAAAAGGTTAGTATTCTTTTCTTTCTTCTTTATTTTTTTTGGCAGTCCTGTGGTTTGAACTCAGGGTCTGGGCCCTGTCCCTGAGCCTCCTTGTGCTCAAGGCTAACACTCTACCATCTGAACCACAATGCCACTTCAGCCTTTTCTGAGTAGTTCATCAGAGATAAGAGTCTCATGGAGGGGCTGGGAATGTGGCTCAGTGGTAGAGTGCTTGCCTTGCATGCATGAGGCCCTGAGTTCGATTCCTCAGCATCACATAAGCAGGAAAAAAGCCAGAGGTGGCGTTGTGGCTCAAGTGGTAGAACGCTAGCCTTGAGCTGAAGAGCCGAGGGATAGCACCCAGGCTCAGAGTTCAGGCCCCACTACCGGACCCCCCCGCAAAAAAAAAAAAAAAGTCTCATGGATTTTTCTGCTCCATCTGGCTTCAAACCCTGATCCTCAGATCTCAGCCTCCTAAGCAGCTAAGATTACAGGCATGAACCACAGATACCCAGCTGGATTTATGATTCTTAATTAAAAAAAGAAACAAACATACTACCCTCAAATTCAAAGATTAACACAAAAATCCAAGTCTCAAGTTAGAATGAAAAAAAAAATCAACTAGTAAGTTGATTTAGTAAGTTTCAGTATATTTTATTTCAGCTCAAGAATTCTGCATTTTCAGTGCAGAATGGACACTTTAGCATGACCCCAACCAGGAACAACAGGTCTCTTATAGGCTTCTACTAAATTCTTGTACTTGTATAATTCATTCATAAAGAAGCTACTCATGATACCTTTTTGGATAAGAATCAAGGAAATCACGATCACAAGTCATCCTGGACTCTTACCATATCAAATAAGTCCAGAGAACATAAATAAAGAGGGAAAATCAGGGGACTTTGGAACAAGATGTCTTAGCAAAACTCAAGGAATTCCAAGGTAGATTGTATATTTAAGGAACACAGGCTCACTGAGCATAGAACTGTTTTCTGGGACCAAGCAGAAGGCAAACAGCTTAATTAGGTACTTTCTCCCAAATTGATTTTCACTGGGAAATGGAATGCTCACCATAAAGAATCAAGATAAATTAAACAGGACTCTTGAAAGCATAGGCTTAAAGAAAAAGGCTGATGGACTGGACTTGTGGATCAAATGGTAGAGGATTAGCCATGAAGTCGCTTGAGTGAGTACATGAGGCCTTGAATTCAAGCCCTGATGCCAGCACAAAAGAGTAAGGCTGAACATTTAGATATTTCTATCCAACTGGAATTCTTTCTTCTTCCCACATGTGGAGCAAAGATAGAAGAAACTGACAGCAGTTATGTGCTGGACAAAAAAGGATCTAAGGTGACGCAATAAAACTGGGGGCCAACAGAAATCCATTTTTAATCAACAACCCAATACACAGTTTAGCATGCTGTCCTCAGAGGATTCGCTCTCTTTCTCTCTCTCTCTTGTTCTCTCTCTCTCTCTCACACACACACACATACACACACTTTTCAGTCTGAACTAGTCAGAAAATTGTATTAAGTTTTGGAAGGCCATCTGGTTTAATACATGGCAAGTGATTTTAATATATGGCATACTGCTTTTAATCTTGAATACTTCATCCTTAAATATTTGAATGTAATCTACATATAATTCATCAGCTGACAGTGTTAAAAAAAAGAAAGAAGGCAGTTTACCTCTCTGGACTCAAACACCCAGTGGCTTTTTCCATCCTCATCAATATGATTCCACCAACGGAGGCCGACCATTAGTCTACCTGTAACATTCTGGGAAACAAAACATAAACATCCATTTTTTTTTTGTTGTTTTTTTGTTGCCATCCTGGGGCTTAAACTTGGGTCTAGGGCTATCTCTGAGCTTTTTTCACTCAAGGATAGAGTGCTATCACTTAAGTCACGGTTTCACTTCTGGCTTTTCATAGTTTTATTGGAGATAAGAGTCTTACAGACTTTCCTGCCTGGGCTGGCTTCAAAATCCAGATCCTCAGATCTCAGCCTCTGGAGCAGCTAGGATTATAGGCATGAGCCACTGGTGTCCAGCTAACACACATTTTTAAAGCATCATATTTTAGTGTACCATTTTCTTCAGTTTTACCTTCATAATCGGCAAAGACCACTCCATTAGCAGGCCCTGCTAAAAAAAGACCCAACAAAATGGCTTTGACATGATCAGCAGGGTAGGGTTTAGAAAGTAAGCAACAAGTCTTCCATAAACTTTACTCTCTCTCTCTTCCCTCATAAATACTGTCTTTCTTCAACTACACAACTTTTTTTTCCCCCTCCTAGGATCCTTTCTCTTTGGCCATTGTGACCTAGCTTTTTTCATGTATGCTGACAATAGCTAAATATATTAAATATATTTTACAGCTGCATACCCCTACAAATACTAATAGGCACCGGACTTCATGCAAATGTATCTCAAATGTATTAAGTTCTTTTTGCTTATTAGTGTAATAAATCAGTGTGAAAAATTTTCTAATGGTTTTTAAATCTATTATCAATATTTACTATGCATCTACAAACTCAGTTAAAAAAATGGTAACCAATAGGCAAATTCAAGTGTGTGGAAAAGAAATATCAACAATGCATAAATGTACCAATTAGGAAAAGTGTAGTCAGCAGAAAGTATGGAATTCTTGATCAGTACAACAGTGACATAACCCTATATCTACACTGGGTATCAGAATGACTTCCTTAGGAATATTTGGAATGAAACTAAAAGATATGTGGGAATTAATAATACAGGGAATGTTTAATTATGTTGTCTGCTAACAGACTCAGGAGTACAGAAGTTCTTGGATTGAGAATGTTTATTTTCATTAACCTGACTAATGTTTATAACATACATTTAATTTATAAGTGAAGATAAGACATGAATGTAAGGTAATAAAATAGAATTAATGAAATTAAAATAGCTGGGCACTGATGGCTCATGCCTGTAATCCTAGCTATCCAGGAGGCTAAGATCTGAGGATCATGGTTCAAATCCAGACCAAACAGGAAAGTTTGAGAGTCTCTGATCTCCAATTAATTACCAGAAAAAAACAAGAATGAAGCTGTGGCTCAAAGTGTAGAGCACTCGCCTTGAGCAAAAGAGCTCAGGGATAGCATCCAGGCCCTGAGTTCAAGCCCCACAACTGACTAATTAATTAAAATTAATAAAACCTGTGATCTTGTCACATACACAAAATCAGGCCACTTTTCAATTTATACACTTGTTATAGATAATGCCAAAGTAGTATTTATGCTTTCAGCCCTCTGAAAGAAGTTATAGACTTGTTGCTAGATCTTCTAGCTAAACAGTTAACTACAGACCCTGTGAAAGAAACACTTTTCTTTTGGGTTTTTCTGTTGGGTTTGAGGTACCTTCAAGATAGTCACAAACAAGGGCTGGGAATGTGGTTTAGTGGTAAGTGCTTGCCTACCTTACATGAAACCCTGGGTTTGGGCTGGGAAGGTGGCTCAGTGGTAGAGCGCTTGCCTTGCATGCATGAGGCCCTGGGTTCGATTCCTCAGTACCACATAAGCAGGAAAAAAAAAGCCGGAGGTGGCGCTGTGGCTCAAGTGGAAGAGCGCTAGCCTTGAGCTGAAGAGCTGAGGGATAGCGCCCAGGCTCAGAGTTCAGGCCCCATGACCGGACCCCTCCCCCCCCCCAAAAAGAAGAAACCCTGAGTTTGATTCCTCAATACCACATAAACAGAAAAAGCTGGAAGTGGCACTGTAGCTCAAGTGGTAGAGTGCTAGGCTTGAGCACAGAGAGGCTCAAGGACAGTGCCCAAGCCCTGAGTTCAAGCTCCAGGACCCGCGCCAAAAAAAAAAAGATAACCACAAACAAACAAAAAACCAGAGAATACACGAATACACACACACACACACACCCCACCCCATCCCCACCCCCACCCCACCTCTATCAAGCTGGGCACCAGTGGCTTATGCTGGTAATCCTAGCTACTTGGGAGGCTGAAATATAATAATAAATGCTCAACATCAGCCTGGGCAGATAAATCCAAGATACACCAATTAACCAGCAAGAAGCTGAAAGTAGAAGTATGGCTCAATTGGTAGAGTGCCAGCTTTAAGCAAAAAAGCCAAGCAAGAGCTCAAGGCCCTGAGTTCAGGCCTGAACACAAAATTAAAAAAAATATATATGCACATGTGTATTTCAAGCAGAAAGATAAGGAAGCTTAAACCTGGTAGAAAACTAGAGCTGAGGATCACCATAGCTTGTAGACCAGCAACTGAAACCAGAAGTATGGCACACTTAGAAAAGAAATACAGAAAGAGAAGAAGAGATTAGAAACCATTCACACTGTAGAAATACTAAGACTTAGGTTAAGTAAAAAAAGAAGAGCTGGCATAGAAAACAGCCAGTGTCTACATGTTAGCATTTTCAAAGAAAGACCTTAGAACATTTCCAAGTTTCTTCATGTTCCCATTTTCCAATCTTTCCATTGTTCCTTTATTAGTTTATTTTTCTTGATTCTCCCCTTCCCTCCCCTCCCAGTTCTGAGGTTTGAACTCTGGGCCTCAGCACCTTTTGTTTAAGACTAGTACTCTACCACTTGAGCCATAGCACCACTTCTGGCTTTTTCTGTGATTTTATTGGAAACAGTCTTACAGATTTTCCTGCCCAGGCTGACTTTGAACCATGATCCTCAGATCTCAGCCTCCTGAGTAGCTAGGATTACAGGGGTGAGCCACTAGCGCCTGGTTTTTAAAATTTATTTTCATTTAAAAAAGTTTTTATTATAAAGTTGATGTACAAAGGGTTTACTGTGTCATATGTCAGGTAATAAGTACATTTCTTTTTGGGCAATGTCATTCATTTCTTTGCTCTCTCTTTTCCTTCCTGTCCCCACCCACAAGTTGTACAGTTCATCTTCAACATGTCTACTAAGTACCATTGTTGCATTTTGTTTTTAAAACTTATTAAATGTTCACCCGTTATTTCCATCAAAGTCTGCATTGGTTTTTCTCTAAATTGAGTTTTAGATGCATTTTAATAACTTATGGATGACCACTGTAAATTGTAAATAATCTGTAGTTTTTGTTTCCTATTTTTTTTTTTTTGTATTGGGGCTTGAACTTAGGACCTGGTATTATCTGAGATTTTTTGTCAAGTCTAGTGCTCTATCACTGAATCACAGCTCTACTTCCGTTTTTTTTGTTGTTGTTGATTAATTGGAGGTAAGGGTCCCATGGACTTCTCCTGCCCAGGCTAACTTTAAACTGCAACCATGCCAAAGCAGGTAAATCCATGAGTCTCTTATCTCAAAGTAATCACTAAAAAGCAAGAAATAGAACTGTGGCTCAAGTGACAGAGCACTAACCTTGAGGGGAAAAAAGTCCAGGGCCAGTGCCCAGATCCTGAGTTCAAGTTCCAGGACAGGCACCAAATGAGTAAATAATTTTTTGAAACTATTTTTCTCTTCTTCACTTACTCATTACTATTATAAACAGTTTACATAAAGACTGCTTTTTAAAAATTTCAACTGAGATTAGAATATATCCATTTTTTACTCGTTTCAGAACTCTGTCAACTCTCTTTTTCAAGCTCTTTTAATAACCTTTCAATTTTTTTGTTTTTGTTTGGTCTTGGGGCTTGAACTCTGGGCCTGGGCGCTGTCCCTCAGTCTTTAGCTCAAGGCTAATGCTCTACCACTTGAGCCACACACCACTTCCAGTTTTCTGGTGGTTTATTGGAGATAAGGGTCTCACAGACTTTTCCTGCCAGGGCTGGCTTTGAACCGTGATCCTCAGATCTCAGCCTCCTGAGTAGCCAGGATTGCAGGCGTGAGCCATCCCATGAGCCGCCATCCCATGAGCCACCTTCCCACTAAGCCACCTTCCCAGCCCAACTCTATTTTTAAACTGCTTGATTTTGTTTCCTATTTCAATCATTTGGATATCCACAAGCAATTCTATCAAGAATCAATACATGGATTTTTTTTTTGAAGCCATGGTTTAAAAATATCTCATCAAAGCTGGGCACTGGTGGCTCACGCCTGTAATCCTAGCTATTCAGGAGGCTGAGATCTGAGGATTGTGGTTCAAAGCCAGCCCGGGCAGGAGAGACCGTGAGACTCTATCTCCAATAAACCACCAGAAAACCGGAAGTAGCGCTGTAGCTCAAGTGGTAGAGCGTTTGCCTTGAGCTGAAGAGCTGAGGGACAGTGCCCAGGCCCAGAGTTCAAGCCCCAC